CCTTCCCAAAGTTTGGCATCCCCACCCTGGTGAATAGCTGCAATTTATCACACCTATTTAAATAATCTGAGTGCTACAGTCAGAGCAGTAGTACAAGGAAGCTTCAGTATTCTGCTGGTGTCAGAGGTGACTACTGATGAGACTGATCCGATTTTAAACCATCATCAAGTTTGTACGTTTTCATATAGGAGGCGTCAGAGAAATTTACAACAGGTCCCTTGACATACATTTGGTATGAATTATGAAATTTATTATTACAAATGTATTATTCAGTGTGTATTAATGAGCTAATATAAGCATCCTCTGGGACATAAGCCACATATTCTGATGCCTGCAAAATAAAATATACATCTAACATTAAATTTCAGGGACAAAAAAATAAAAAAAATAAATCTGCTTTCCCTAAAGTCTCTGTGAACTATAATTAAGTTAAATTCACGTTCTTCCATAACGTAGGAAAGACCCAATTAGTCTCTTCCACCTGAGGGCTCTAATGTAAGAGCATATGAATCTTCCAATGGAGTGTTACAAAGACATCATAAGCTTTCATAGCATTCCCTAACCTCCCATGGATTTGTTAAAATCTGTACTCTATGCTAACTATGCACTGGGTACGGGGCCTGTTCCCCTGAGGAAGCTGAAAAATGAGAAAGTCCACTTCTTGACAGAAGGATGTGGAAAAAATTATGGAGACTGACTGGTTTCTTTCTCCCTGATCTCCATATAAGCCATTTAACTTGAATGCAAAACTTTCTGTGAAGGCCATGTTGTTTCTTTACGAGTCCTTCTACCAAGCACTTTCAGGGTAATAGCCACTGTCAGTATTTAGCTACAACTACTGCATAGATGTTCCTTACTCTCTGCAGAATACAGCACCTGAATTCAGTACACCATGGATCTTGGGTGCCATGCCTTGCAATGCAGCATAATACACCCATCCTCAGTGCCAACACTGAAACCAGTACAGGCTAAATTCTGGAGAAGAACTGATATTCACTAACCACCTTGCACACAACCACATTACGGGCTTCAGAAGCAGCTGAATACTAACAGCCCTCTCCTCCCTTCTTTTACTGTCTTAACTTATGTGTCTCAGATGAGAGTCCAGCCTGATCTTAACCACAAAGTGAAAAATATGCATTGCCATCATAGAAGATGCAACCTCTTGTCGCCCTTGCTCTGCTTATCCCTAGATCAGGACAAAGCTATCCTAGCTTTCCTGTAATGTGTACCTTGCCAACTCTGTCACAACAGAGAATGACATAAAGAAGCCCTTTCTCAGGATCCCTCTGCTTTCCAAGTGTTAAATGAAATCCACAGGGATATTTGTTATGGAGGCAAAAATACTTAAAGCTAGACAGTCAGAGTAAGACTGACAGTCCTTCTGCATAAAACGCCCCTGGATAGCATTACATGGAGAAGACTCCAAAAAAAAAAAAAAAAAAAAAAAAAAAGGCAACATATAAATCCAGCCCAAGGGTCCTGAATTGTCATCTCCTTTCCTTCAACAAACAGAAGCCTCTTTACTCTCCATATCTTGCAACACAAGCAATATCAATTACTTTTTTACTCCATCCTGCTTACAAATCAGGGTGCAGTATTCCCATACTGCACCAATACAGGATAAGATTGTAGAGGCCAACCACATGCCAAGAACAGCAAAAACACAATACCTGGGAGAGAAAGCACAGAAAATTACTTCATTTTTATTATTAGAAATGAAACATATTTGTGCAGATGGCCCCACAAGAAAATCAACCAGAAAAAACTCCTTATGCAAGATCACTCATGACATCTAACACCAAGACAACTGATGATCACAGATCTGCATAAGGTCATAATTACAGAGTTTCCAAGACAGATGCTATTTAATGCACACAACTGTATATTCTTGGTGTTTATGTTGTCAATGAATAATGACCAAATTGCTTCCTCTTACACACTGCTCATGTGGCATTCTGCATGACTGCTGAAGTTGCATAGGAAGACATAAAGTTGTTAGAAGAGAACCCTGCTGCCAGTCACTGCTATAATCTGCTGAAGCTTCACCCTATTTCAGTCTGTCTATTTCACTGTCCTTTGTTTGCCCGTCCTTCAGGCAGCTTGTGACAGTCCTGTGACAGTCCATGTGTACAGCAATATAAATTGCTTTCAAACAACAATTTGCCTTACTATGTTTATTCCACAAACTCCCTCCATTTAATATTTTTTCCAAATTCTTAATGAGCCTTACCATTTTATTAAAGGATTTTCTCTAGTGAGTAAGAAGCCAAATAATATAATGAGGATGGAAGGGAACAAGAAGTGGAGTGGAGATCTAAAATTAAACTTTCCCCAATGCTTTATATAGAAAAATAAAAGGCTATGAAACAAGCCTCATCCTCTGTGTAAGGGATAGGTGTGCATTTATTTACACGATGAATGACAAACTCTGTCAGCTGAATGTAAGGAACAAATCCAGTGCTCCCTGAAATTTCACTTATGCACAAAAGCAACCCTCAGTTGTTAACACCACCACCAGGGTTCTCTCTTCGGCATTTGACCTTACTGTACTTCACAAACAGAGGGCATTTCAGGTGTACAGTTTGTAATAATGCAGCAGTTTTTGAACTTCAGACACTTACAAACAGGTCTTTGAGATGACCAGGCAGGTTCTGCATCTTGCTCACCTTTCATTTTAATGACCATCTCAAAAGAGTTGAACGATTTATTGTGCAGGTGTGGAGTAACTTAGGGAGGAAAAATGCACCTTGCCAGAAATCTGTGCACTCTAGGAATTATTTGAGCAAGTGCTGGATGTACTATACTGGTCTGGATTTATACTTGTACAAGTTCTTATTTATATTAAGCAGGAAACAAGTAAAGCTAAAGGCCACTACATGAAACACGTATTTTATTAAATGGGGCCCAACCCAAAAGAATATTGGGCACAGAAGGAAATACACCATCTGATGCCTGGCCTGTTACATCAATGATAACTAGATGAACTTCAGTTTCTGAAATTCTCAGAAATAATGGCAACACATGCATTTCAGCCCTCTGTGGTTCCTCAGTGTGTGCTATTTAAGTTTTCTAACAGGCTTTCAATTTGGACAATGGTACCTTGTGTTTTCAGTACGTTCCTTGTAGGGCCTCTGTGATCATATCAGCTAAACATGCAGGGCCAGATTATGCCTTGCCCTTAACCAGATGTGCAGTGGGAAAGAAAGATATTTGCCTGAATCCAAACACCCTGTATCTGGGTCTGAGTAGGCAGTACTAAAGTGCTGCCAACTCAGTTCCAATCCCACTGTCCTGATCATGAAGGTTTTTTGATTGATTCATCTCTGAAATCAATACTGCCAGATCTAAAAATAATAAACTGCAGGGATTGTGGATTAGATTATTATTTTTTTTTAAATGTGGGTTATTGTTTTATAGAAAAATTAATTCTAATGCAAAATAAGCTCCTGGACAAAATAATTTACATTTTGTAGTACCAGACAGTGTAATTGATTATGAATGGAAACAGGTATCATACGGTCAACACGGCATCTGAAGCTTAAAGTGTTTTATAGTTTTACTGAAAGAAAAAGAATATAAAGAAAAAAAAATAAGTGCTGATGTACTATCACAATTCCATGCTTTTCTTACCAATAGTGTTACTACTACATACATATTGATTAATGCTTAGGAATTTATTCACTGGAAGCATGTAGTTTTCACAAGCATGTCACTCTCTCCCTTCTTGAAAACTTTAACTCTAGTTATTAAGATGGGGGGCTAGGAGGAGATCCAGGGACACACACAACCTTATTTTACTTCAAAAAGAAAATAAAAAAAAAAAAAACAGACCACCAAGCAAAAACCCCACAACAACCTCCTTAGAACAAGCAGACAACCTGATCTGTACCCTCAATGACAACTATTTTTAGGACAAGCATTGCCTGTTTGAAATCAGTCAGGAAGCACCAAAATAAGATCAAGCAAGTTAATTATTAAGTCTCATTATTGATATCAGCTGATTATATTTTCCATAATAGAAATACTCCCCTGTTCACTTGGGGGCAGGGGAAAAAAAGAAAAAAGAAAACAGCAGGGCATCTTTTAGTATCAATGTACTACCTGGATTCAAAGTCCTCTGGTTGCACTGCTTTTGGGGCAATTCTTTTAAAGCTTTTCTTATTTGACAAGCCTTTGTTATTTATTCCAGTGAGCCACATTCAAATCACCTCAGCCAGCTTCCCAGCACAAATGCCTTCACTTATCCTTTACAGGAAGGTTGGCCACTACAATCGTATGTGACATAAGACTGCTGTAAAAATCATAGCATCAACTAGGTTGGAAAGTATGTCTAACCGTTACCCCAGGACTGCCAAGTCCACCACTAAACCGTGTCACTGAGGACATCTGCACATTGGCCAAAGAATGTTTTGAGCTTTTTGAAATATCAGTGAAAACCGCTATTTGGAAACAAGCAAGCATTATCTTTTGATCTTTGACGCGCAAATATTCAACCAAAATTGACAGTACAATATGAAACTGAAATATAAACTTCATTGTTACACCCAGGTTAGCAGTGTGTCCCCCAAGTGAGGCTGAAAGAAACACAAAAGAAGACCAAGAGCTTGAGAAGACATCCCTAAAAGCATTTAAAAGCTCAAAGAAAGAGATGGGCATTTTCAAAAGCACCAACATTTTTGGGGGGAGAGGGGGTGAAGCTGGCAATCTAGCTCTTAAAGATGAACGGTGTGGGTTTAAAATGCGGGTGATGCACCTTACATAAAATACTCCCCGCACACAAGGGAGTTGGGGAAGTAAGGAGTACTCCAGCATCCAGCCGCCGGCCCCGCACCATCCCCGCGGCCCTGGGGCGCGAGGGGGGCGGCAAGCCCGACCCCCTCAGTCACAGGCCCGGTTGCCGAGGAAGGCGGCCCCACACCAGCCCCATCGCCTCCCCGGTGGCCGTGAGGGGGTACGGGCCTCCCCGGAAGGCCTCCTTTTGGCTGCCGTTCGCTTACCGGTGGTGGAGAGGACGGTGCTGGCGAAGAACAGCGAGGAGGTGAAGTCCCAGTTCCAGTTGCCCGAGGCGTTGCTGAGCACCGAGACGCCGTAGTTGCTGGCCTCCAGCACCCGCAGCAGGAACTGCTCCAGCTGCTGCTCCGAGAGGCAGGCGTGCTCCTCCAGGAAGCGCTGCTTCAGCTTGCCCAGCTCCTGGCGCAGCAGGTCCTCGTAGGGCAGCTCCACCGAAGAGAACACCACGGCGCCGAACACCAGGTAGAGCAGGTAACCCAGCACCAGCAGGGCGAAGCACCAAGCGGAGCGGTGCTGCTCCACCAGACGCACGCAGGAGCTGCCCGCCAGCGACTGCAGCATCTTACCGAGCCGGAGGCCGGCTGCGCCCTGGGCCGGGGGCTTGAGGGAGACACGGGGGGGAGCGCGGCCGTTACGGCCACCGGCTGCCCTGTGCCTCTGCGGCCGCCTTGAGGCGCGGAGCGGCGCTGATGTGGCGCTCACGTGGCCGCGCGGCGCAGGTACCCGCGGCTGAGGGACAGCCTGCTGCCGCCAACCGACCGGCCACAACGCCTACGTTGGAACGGCGTTTTTTCTCCTCTTTACGTTTCTTGTCACCCAGCCGTGCGTGACTGGGCCCAGCTAGCGTTCAATGAAACCGACAGAGACTGCCCCTTAAGACAAAAGTGTCTGAGACTGCCTTGCCTCGCTGCTCCCTCCTCCGGGAGAAACCCCCGAACAGCAATTCCTGCCGCTGATCCTTTTATTTTTCACATTTCCGAAGGTGCCGGGTGAAGCAGAAGAAGGTAACACCACAGACACAGCGGTGTGAGGCATGGGGCTGAATTTCAGATCGGGGATGTGATGCATTTAAGGAGGAATCCTGATGGCAGGCGTTAATGTATTCCCTCAGGTCCTCTGGGACATAACTTCAAAATGAGGCCTGTCTGGGATGACAGAACCAGGTGGCCGCCAGAAATCTCATCCAAGCTAATTGAGCCTTTGCTTCTGTGCTGGGCTCCTAAAGATACTTACTTTTAATGATACTTTACTTTTTTTTCGTGCTCAGGGCAGTGTCCACAATGAATTCAAATCCACTGTTCAGACAGCCCTCTGTGTGGTCCAAACCAGTGATCTTCTCCAATTCCATTTCAAATGCTTCTTTCTCCATTCATCTCAAACTCTGGCCAGCAATCATACAGTTAACCTGCAGAGAAGTTCCACTACCACATGAAAAAGAGTAGTGAAAATTGTAGCCTCCCAAAGTGACCCTTAAAGTGACTAAAGGCAGCTTCCTTGGGTAAAATAGAGAGAGAGGAGATTCCCTAGCCACATCCTGCAGGACTCTGCCACTTCCCTTTCACTTCTCAGCTGATGGCAACTTCTACAATCACAGAAACAAAGTAGTGGCTTGTAAATTAGAAACTTACTGGGGCTGAGACAGTGAGTTCGTACAGAGTAAATCGTATCCCATAACCTATGTTAAGGTGTGAGGTACACTGTAGGGACTATCATGGGAAAAGGACAGAAAAACAAAAGGCACAAAACAATTCTTCATGCTAGAAACTTAAAACCAGTGTGTTAACATTTCCTTTCATACAACAGCTACATTAGTCTGTGGGAAGGATCTGGCCTAGCAGAACAGCTCATCCAGTCCCTGGCCCATTCCCTGCTGCCAACTACCGCTGAGTTGTTCCAGGGGCTTAATGCCTCCCTATTCCCCTTGTTTCACGATCAAAATGTAAATGTGTTCATGCATGCAAAAAGCAGCTGCTTAAACGCTTGGTCAAATAGTGCGCTTGGGGGATGTGGTAGGTACGTATGAGACAGTCTGAGCAAGCAGACTCTCGGTGCTGTGCCAAGGGGACATGTATGTTCTGGACTACAGATGCACATCTGTCATGTGTGTGCATGTGCACCTTTTGCATGCACGTTCGATCACACATATGGGGAGCAGATACCCTGTCTGCTTAGGTGTTTTGGTAGGAAGACGCTTTTCTCCCATGGCTGAACATCTGAACTGTTGCGAGGTAAGTGGTTCCAAAGTATTTATGCATATAAATTGTGGCACTGAACAGAGGTGCAGCACAGTGAAATTAGGGGAGAGGCTTGAAACGACCAGCTGAAGAAAATCCATGCTGTATATCATGAAGTTAATTGACAGGAGGACAGACATAGGCAGAGATATCACATCCTGTCAGCACCTTTCATCAGTGTCAGAGTACTTCTAAAATTTTATTTTTTTTTTGCTATAAACCAGTGATGTGTAGGAAAAAGACAATCTAAATCAATAGCAATGACAATTAATAATGGATACTGCCTGAAAAAAAAAAAGTAATGCAGTCACACTTTTCAAGGGACTATTCCAAATGTCTTATTGCATCACACTAAGACAGCATGCATTTAAGCATCGTTACAGAAAAAGAGGTCAAGGAACCTCAATTTGGTATGCTTGGTTAATTCCATCCAAGTACTTAATTACTTGTCCCCTCAAATTCCAAATGACTGAGTACCTCCATCTATAATATAAAACCCATTAAAAACAATATGTATGATATACGGGGCTCCATCTTGATCAAATGTACTCGGTTTGCCAGATAAAATAGGTTTCATAATACTATCTAATTTATGACAACATCTGGTGTGTAGAGTTGCATTCGTGATAGGAAATGGGCATATATTTGCTATAAAACAATATTTTCCCAACCTTCAAGCCAAATATTTATTTAAAGGTTAGAAAATGTTTGCCTCAGAACACACCTCCCTTCAGTGGTGATAGGAAACTGTGACTGGGCAGCTGAACAGTTTTATTTACTGGCTGCCTTCAGTTTTCCATTTTTATGAATCACTCATTCTCTATTTTTAGAAGTCTCTCACACTTGGAAGTTTGCTGGGCTAGAGAGAAAAGGAAGACTCTGCTGAACAGAACTTGCAGTGCTCTTGTAACTCGATTTTTCCCCCTCAGGTTTGGAGGCATGGGCCAGAGGAAACAATGGCAGAGCAGTACAGCTGTGTCACCAAAGCATTCACATTCTTTATTCCAAAGCAAATGTCTGGACAGTGAATTTTAGCCAGCATTGTTTCATTCTACTGTGAGCATCCCTCTGAATAAAATGTGAATCCAGTTAATAAAGCATACCACATCATGGCATCATTCATCTGCTAGCTACCTTCAGTGATTACTGGGCTCCTTACTGCTGGAGAGGTCCAGCTTTTAGCAGAGTAAGGAAACCCACTATTGGTAGCTACTGATGCTCTCTATTGCACCAAACTCCCCTCTGAACTACAGAAAATGCAAGTACAAGCTGCCTATCTACAAGTGCAGAAGAGAAGACACACTAATTCATCCATGGAACTGAGAGAGAAACCATATTCATATGCTGGGGTACTTGAAAAGTGTAAAGGAAGTGACTAGTCTCTCTAACTCTGTTGCCTGGGGAGACAGGACAACTCCCTTATCAAATCACTGGCCTGGCAACTTCTCTAGCGTAGTCCAGAGGCTGAGAAAAATCCTGTCTCATACAAAAGAAATGTAAGGCATTTCTCAGAGCTGTGCGAATCACTGACATTTTCTTTTAGGAGAGGTGAAATTGAAATAAAGAATTTTTGTATTGTGTTTGTGGCAGCCTATTCTTCACTGAGCTTTTTGGTTAACTGAAAAAAATATCCTATTACTGACACATTTCTAGTGAAATGCTGTAGTGCTCCAAACATGGGAAGACAAGGAGATGGTGGCAGCCTGGAGGAAGATGGTGGCAGCAGTGACCAGAGAGGGGGACCACTTTGTTCAGTGAATATAAATGACATTAGACAAAAACAGTAGCTGAAATGAAAAGCAAGAACGGCTCATAACAGTGCCCAGAGACTGGCGTATGCTGAGCAGCATATGGCAAAAAGGAGATTTAATGCTGGGACTCTGCTGCTCTGATCACTGAGCTCTAGACCCTGAGTGGGGGATATGAGGAAACACCCACGTTTGGCACTGTTACTGATATCAAGACTATAAAATGGTTTCATCACCAAAAAGAAAACCAGAAAGTGATTCAAATATACATAAAGTTTCAAGTTGACTGGAAGTTTGGTTAGTTTTGGGGGTTTTTTGCTTGTTTGCTTGTTTGTTGCAAAAAAAAAGTAGTTTCATGGCAAAATAAGAAACATTTTGACATCAGTCTTAGAAGAAAATGTTACTCCTCTCAAAAAAAAGTACAATTTCACTGAATAACCTTAAGTCCTGAGAAGCAGGGTAAACAAAATCAGTTCTAGGCAATACTTGTCCAGACAAACCTGTTCTGCACTGTAGCATGAGCTCATGGTACAGTGAGCAGAGGAGGAGGAAGTGGTGGTGGGGAGGAGTGGGATGATCCAGGACAGTGTGGGAACCAGTAAACAGTTATATGCGGAGAACATGAAATAGTATCATAGCTGTGTCACGGTGACAGCTGAATACTGAATAGCAATAGGGAACCGATTTGTCCTTCAGGATTTTTCTTCAAATTTGGTGTGAGTATAAATTCAGTGGTTATAGCACGTCTAAAGTCTGAATTATCTGTCCTAAATTGTATGTACATGAAGGAAGATAGCCATAAATGTAAGACTCTCTGAATTCACTTGCATTACAGATTCTGCCACATTTAACTGTTCCCATTAATACTTTTTTAATGAAACTGAGAAGTAGAATCCTTCATAATTTGCTGTATGTGTTAAATGAAGGCTGGACCATCACACATTTCCTGTTTCAGAAGAAAATACATCGAAATGGTTGTTTCTGAACACTACATTTGTGGACTTTTGCAGAAGTTAGTATAAGGTTGTCTAGTGGCTCTGATTGAATGTAGTGACCCCTGTGTGGGCAAGCAGGATGCAGAGTTATAAGAATCACATCCTCACAGACACCAACACAAATGTAGTTAAGCTGAGAAGCAGTCAGATGGGTTGCCATATGTTCTGTTTCTGATGGGTAAGGTGTTCTACTTCAGCTAAAGGGAATCATCTAGATTTGGGTCAAATAATATGAATGCTATGAAAATCGAAACAACACAGCCTGACTTTATAGAAAAATAATCTTTGAAGAGGGGATTCGTTCCCATCTTAATATGACAGGAGGATGGAGATGCAGTAGGATTGCAGATGTATTTAGGTCTTTAAAATTTATGACCAAGCGAACTGGTGACAGTAGAAATACTGCTGTGGAAGAAAGTCAGTGAAGTCAGTGTCGGTGCCATTTCTAACATCCTGCCTGACTGCATTCTACTTGAGATGAGGAGAGAAAGCTTGAGATTTAGTGGCTTTCTCAAAAAATCATTTTATGTTGTTAACTTAATGGTGCAACACTGTCCACAGAGGGTAAGACCACTGATCTGTGGTAGCAAAAGAATGAATGTGTCTGGTTTGGGGGCTATATTTAGGGGAATGTTTACGTCACAGAGTAGTAGTATTTAGAATGAAGAAAGTTTATACGCATGGTCAGGCACAATTTCTTTCTCGAGTGAGTCATGGCTTGTTGAACATAAATGTAATTTTCCTTAGAGTTACAGTAAGTATTCATATTTAACCAACAATCTCAGTGTCTGAGTAGCATAACTGATAGATAACTGTTTTAATAGGATAAGAATTGTATGTCATAGAAAAAGTAATTTTAGGTATACTTGCCATCAGGTTTACCCAAAGGCATTGCCCGAAATGAAAAGGAACTTGGTCACTCTTAGGAGGT